ATTAAATAATGTCATATCGATTTCATAGGTTCTAAACTTCTAATTTGTAGTTCATAAAGGTTCGAATCCTCTTCTAAGGGGTTAGATCTCGTTTTAAAGGGTTAGATCCAATAATAAAGGGTTGGATCACATAATAAAGGGCTGGATCCCATAATAAAGGGTTGGATCCCATAATAAAGGGTTGGATCCCACAATAAAAGGTTGGATCCCATAACAAAGGGTTGGATCCCATAATAAAGGGTTGGATCCCATAATAAAGGGTTGGATCCCATAATAAAGGGTTGGATCCCATAATAAAGGGTTGGATCCCATAATAAAGGGTTGGAACCCATAATAAAGGGTTGGACCCCATAGTAAAGGGTTGGATCCCTTAATAAAGGCTTGAAACCTATTAAGGAAATGTCTTTGTCCGAGTGAATAGACTCGGTTACGTGTTTGTAGGTTCTAAGACGCCGATATGTCTTTCAATAAGGTCGAATCCCTCTATAAGGAGTCGAAACCTTCACGGGAAGTGTTTAGCGTGATGGATGAAGTGTCGGATCCCATGTTAGCTGTCTCGGACCTCTCTTACTTCTCCCACCACCGTCTCCTTCCTAGACAGACAAACAGACATACAGACAGACAGGACCGAGGAAGGTGGAGCCTGGTAAGAATGTTGCCTGGGGAGGTTTTTTTCTTCTGATACCTGGGTTCGATACCCCTTGATAGCTGTGATGAATTTTTATTCAGTAACTGACACACAGATAGGCAGATGAGATGGATGGTAACGAGTTGATTGTTTGATAGAGTGATAGAGAGATAAATAGATAGATAGACGGATAGATTACCGCCTGGAGTGGATAGTGGCAGAAGAGGGGGTGTTAGTGGGTCGGATTCTCAAAGGTTCGTGGGTTATATTGTATTATTAGTGAGAGCTTGAGAGAACGTGTTGAACTGACTTATCTAAGCTACTATATAATGTTGGATTCTCAAAGGATCTTACGTAATATTTTCCTAGTAACTTACGATACGTCTAAGTTACTCAACCCTAATTACACAACGTTCTTTCATTATTAGTTACGTCGAATATAAAACATCTTACGAGTGTTTCAGGAGCCATAGGTCACAATCCTCATCAGGTCCAAAAGTAACAAAAAACTCTTATGGGTTAATTTTCCCCTTAAATGGAGATATAAGATAATCCTCACTTAACTATTTCATTTTGTTTCTCAAATGACCTTACGGTAAAAGTCATCATTAAAGGGAGATGAAGACCTCTTGTATCTACCACCTAACCTAACCCAACCATCCCATTACCTAACCTAACCTATCCTAACCTAACCCCATTACCTAACCTAACCTATCCTAACCACCCCATAACCTAACCTAACCTATCCTAACCACCCCATAACCTAACCTAACCCAAAAAACCGTAAACACTAAAACTCACCTACATACTAGAACACAAAGTGAGAGCCGCCGCCATGTTGACAGTGAGACACAGCTTATTGACACCTGGACGGCCACCCAGCCACAGGTAATTACAGGTAGGGACTTTTACACACCTGAAGATGAGAGATGACCATAACAGCCTCACCTGGACGAGGGGGGGAGAGGGGGGGTGTCAAGGGGAGAGAAAGGGGGTGGGAAAGGAGAGAGGTGGAGAGAAGAGGAGGGAGGTGGAGAGGAGGGAAAGGGGGGATGTTAGGGAGAGAGATTGGGAGGGGGTGGCAGGGGGAGAGGGGTAGATGAGGTGAAGGAAGGGGAAGGGGGAGCCAGGGGGAGAATAGGTAGGGGAAGGGGGTGTCAGGGGAGAGTAAGGGTGAGAGGGGAAGAGAGAAGGTGAGAGTGAAAGAGAGAAAGTGAGAGGGGAAGAGAGAATGTGAGAGGGGAAGAGAGAAATAGAGGGGAAGAGAGAACGTGAGAGAGAAAGAGAGGAGAAGAGAGAGAAGGGAAAAGAGAGAGAGAGAGAGAGGGGGGAGGGAGAGTTAAGGTGTATTGTTGAATGAATCGGCTCGACTAGATTTGTTAGGGAACTTAAACTCTCCCTTAATTACTTATATAACAGACCATCATTTACTTACAATACTTACTTGATAAACTTAGAAAGAAAATATCACTTATAAAACAAAAGATAATCATAAATAAGTGTAACCAAATATTTATCATTGATTGCTTAGGAGCCATCATACTTGAGGGTTTAAGTCATCGTAATCGAGGGTTTAAGTCATCATACTTGAGGGTTTAAGTCATCATACTCAAGATGTAAGATGTCTACGAGATGTCTTAAGAGGATTTAGAAGGAGGTGTTTGGCGTGACGTAATCGAGGGTTTGCTCATCATACTTGAGGGTTTAAGTCATCGTAATCGAGGGTTTAAGTCATCATAATTTTGAGGGTTTAACATCGTAATCGAGGGTTTAAGTCATCATACTTGAGGGTTTAAGTCATCAATCGAGGGTTTAAGTCATCATAATTTGAGGGTTTAAGTCATCGTAATCGAGGGTTTAAGCCATCATACTTTGAGGGCTTCTAAGTCATCGTAATCGAGGGTTTAAGCCATCATACTTGAGGGTTTGTCATCGTAATCGAGGGTTTGTCATCATACTTGAGGGTTTAAGTCATCGTAATCGAGGGTTTAAGTCATCATACTTGAGGGTTTAAGTCATCGTAATCGAGGGTTTGGTCATCATACTCTTGAGGCTTTAAGTCATCGTAATCGAGGGTTTAAGTCATCATACTTGAGGGTTTAAGTCATCGTAATCGAGGGTTTAAGTCATCATACTTGAGGGTTTAAGTCATCATACTCAAGATGTAAGATGTCTACGAGATGTCTTAAGAGGATTTAGAAGGAGGTGTTTGGCGTGACGTAACGACTGGACCAGACTCATTCAGATTAAACCACCCAAGTCTTTAATGACGGAACGACTAAACCAAGACTTACTTAAATTAAAACGCCAATTAGAACGTCAAGACTTATAACATACGAGACGTTAATAGATATAACAATTCGCTGTTGAACTCTTATATAAACAAAAGATAAACATTAAGAAATTATGAGATAGTGAATGATAAGGATAGTGTAACCCTTACCCTAACCTAACCTAATCCACCCCTAAGCTAACCTAACCTACCCAAATCTAACCCAAAACTCGGCAATTTTAAATACCCACAAAGGGTAATCTACTTCCTTAACAAGATACCTTAATATATACAGTATATAATATCACACAATTAAATCAACACTAGAGGCTCAGATTCTCCTGGAAATAAAAACCTTTAATAATTTATAAACGCACGAGACATCCCAGGAAAAAAAAACCCTGAATCAGATTCTCCTGGGGAAAAAAAATCCGATAACTTATAAACACACAAGGCATCCTGGGAAAAAACATGACTGAAAATCCCTTAGTGTGAGTAAAGTGATATATTGATGGGAATAAAAACACTTTAAGGTTGAAAGTCGAGGGTACAGAGTAGATATATTGAGCCTTAGAGTCGCGATTAATCTTGGTCGGGGTGGCAGGAGCCTCAGTTCAGAGGAATTTTTATGGTGTTGAGAGCGACAGGCGCTAACAGATGGTAACATGGCCGCCCACCTCCCCCACCCTTGCTTCCTCAACCCACCCCCGCCCACCCCCTTCCTCAACCCACCTCGCCCACTTCTACCCTTCCACCCATAACCCACTCCCTCCGACCTGCGCCCATCCCGCCTACCCTTCCACCCATAACCCACCCCCTTCCCCCTACGCCCACCCCACCCTTACCTCCAAACAGCTGTAGCTTTCAAGAAATCAGCTATAGCTTGAGCGTGCTTTTAGCTTTAACCAACTAATGATAGAACCAGATATATTATTCATTAAAGCTTAAAATGATTATAGCTTGACCCAGATATAGCTTACGTGACTTATGCCATTAACCAGCTATCACCTAAATCAACTATATAATTGTCATCAGTTATAGCTTAAAACACTTATACATTATATAGCTTCCCTCAGCTATAATAAGTGGAAGAAAGGGTTTAGCTTATTTCATCTATATAGAAAAATGAAAAGTGTATTTTATATTTCAACCCCAGCTATACCTCTCACCCCTCTCTCTCTCCCTCTTTCTTTCTTTCTTTCTTTCTCACATCTACACAACCCATTCATCACGTCTTCACAACACGGGGTTAGTCACCTTTCCCACATTATTAAGAAGAAATTGCTCTTATATCACAACCCTCCCCCCCTCCACCCTCTCACTTATGGGGGTAGAGAGGGGGGAAATGGGGTAGAAAGGGGGAATGGGGATACGGAGGGAGTAAATTGGGTAGGAAAGGGGGGTAGAATGCAGAGAAATTGGGTAGGAAAGGGGGAGGGAGGGGAGGAATAGGGGTAGGGAGGGAGGAAAGGGTAGAGAGGGGTAAGGAGGAAGGAAAGGGGATAAGGAAGAGGGAAGGGGGGGTAGAGAGAGGAAAGGTATCACACCCATATTAAACTCTAAGGATAAATGCCCCCATTGCCCTTATGTACCCAATACCTACACGGTGCCCTCCTTGCCCTGAGCGCCACTGTCTGCTGTATGGTACATTAGATACAAGATTATTCATGTCCTAGTGTCTCTCTCTCTCTCTCTCTCTCTCTCTCTCTCTCTCTCTCTCAATGCACCTATTTATTTGTATCTATGTCATTATCATTATCTCTCTATCTCTCTATCTATCTCTCAAGGTTGGCAAGAGGGGTCATGTCAGGGGTTCATAGTTGGTACCGCTGTTTTGGGGCTCACAAATGTATTATAAACACACACACACACACCCACCCACACACACACACACACACACACACACACACACACACACACACACACACCCACACACACACACACACACACCCACACACACACCCACACACACCCACACACACACACACACCATTAGTATTAGTAAACATGTCTATATGTATATTAATATGTACTCCTACATCCATCACATCAGTCATCATTAATCAGTAAACAAACATAATAAATCATTCTCCTGTACAGTGTTGTATCTCAGGTGTTGGTAATTAATGTGTCTCTCTCCTTCAGGTACCTGGGGGTGGTGGGGGTGACGCCTCTCCTGCCGCAGGGGGACCAGGAGGTGCAGAACGTGAGCACCTCGTCTGCCATGAGTATCTGCCAGCATCTTCCTGGGTTGGTGCAGCAGCAGGTGGCCGTCTGCCAGAGTCACCCAGACACCATCAGGAGTGTGAGTGACGGTGCCAGGCTGGGCATCAATGAGTGTCAGTATCAGTTCCGTAACGAGCGATGGAACTGTACTACCAAGAGTGGCCCTGGGAGTGACCTGGACGTCCCCTTCGGTGACACCATCAAGAGAGGTGAGTGATGATGATGATGATGATGATGATGATGATGATGATGTTACAAGTACACACCCCGATGATCATATCCTTAACCTTCCTGAGAACGATGATTTAACTTCTTTAAAAACAATAATTTATCCATCGTCCTCAGAGGGTTAAGTCATCGTCCTCATGTCGTAAATCAATGTCCTCAAAGGGTCAGTCATCGTACTCAGAGGGTTAAGTCATCGTCCTCATGTAGTAAATCAATGTCCTCAAAGGGTCAGTCATCGTACTCAGAGGGTTAAGTCACTGTGCTCCATAACTATCGTCCTCAAGTGCATAGTCATCGTTTCAGGGAGTTGTCGTCCTCGTACTCAAAAGGTTAATTCACTGTACTCCATAAATCTCGTACTCAAATGGTAAACTAAAATGTATCTTATTTTCTCGGATTCACGGTCACCCTCCAGTCAATAGAGCACCAGGTCCCCCTCGACTCTGTACCACTTGAGGAGGACCATCATAATATCGCCCTACAGGTCCACCGTCAAGAGTAGTCAGTAAAAGCGGCCGTATTTTAAAACAACCTCACCTCACCTCACCTCACCTCACCTCACCTCACCTCACCTCACCTATGTCGTGAGTGACGTTGTATGATGAATTTTTTATATCACGTTTGTAATCTATATTGTGTTGTTACTCCAGTCACCTGCGCCGCCTCCTAATTAACACACCTGATATATTGTTTTATGTTTACTCTTGCTATTTATCTGTCTTGGGTCAACGCCAAACCACCGAGGTCTTTTTGCTCAGTAATTGTGCCCACAGCTCACCACAACGTCCTACAGCGTCCTACAACGTCCTATGGTGTCCTACCATAGTCCCACAGCGTCCTACAAGTCCCACAGCGTCCTACAACGTTCTACGGCGTCCTTCAAGTCTACAGCGTCCGATAGAGTCCTAATGCGTCCTACAGCATCATACATCCTACAGCGTCCTACGGGTCTATACGTTCTATAGTGTCCCCAGCGTTCTACGGCGTCTACAGTCAACGACCCACAGCGTACAGCGTCCAGCGTCCCACAGTATCCTGCGTCTACAGCGTCCTACAACTTCCCACAGCGTACTACAGCGTCCCACAGCGTCCACAATGTCACCAGCGTCCTACAGCATCCCACGGCGTACTACAGCGTCCCACAGCATCCGAGAGTATCCTACAGTTTTCCAGTTATAACGACCATAGTCACAGCGTCCTACAGCGTCCCACAGCGTCCTACAGCGTCCTACAGCGTCCTAGAGAGTCCTACAGCGTCCTATAGAGTCCTATAGAGTCCTACCGTGTCCTACAGAGTCTTACAGCGTCCTACTGCGTCTAGGCTAGTCTATAATCTGGGTCTACGGTGAGTCTGACTGCAGGAGCTGACGGGATGTTATCTTAAGCATCAGCGAGGCTAATAACTCCCTGGCCCACCCTGCTGCTCTGCCCTGCCAGGGAGAGGGAGGGAGGGATGTTGAGGGAGGAGGGAAAGGGAAGAAGAGAAGGGAGGTGGTTGAGAGGGAAGATAAGGAGGGAAACAGTTTCGAAAGAGAGGAAGTGAGAGAGGGAGAGAGAGTGAAGAAGGGAGGAAGGAAGAAAGGAAGGAAGGAAGGAAGGAAGGAAGGAAGGGAGTTCAGATGAGGGAAGAGGAATATTGGAATAGGTGGGAGATGTGAGGAAATAAGGACGTGGAAGAAAGAAGGGAGAATAGGAGGAAATTAAAAAATACGAAGAGGGTAAAAAGTCAATGTGAAAATTGAGATACTGGAGAGATTTTTTTCTACTGGGATTAGACCACCGTGGCACAGGTCACCTACCCACAACCAGGGGGGGAGGGAGAGGGGGGAGGGAGGGTACAGAAATTGAACCTAAAATAAAAACAAATGGAAAAAATAAATCAAGAGTGAGAAACAATTTGTGTGTGTTGTCAAAGTAAGAGAAACAATTAAGAACCTATAGTTGTGTGTAAATGAGGAGGAAAGTGAGAGACATGGTGAGAGAGAAAAAGTGAGAGACAATGGTGAGAGAAAAAGAAAGTGAAGGGTGAGAAAGAGAAAGGTAGAGACATGGTGGAGAGGAAAAAAGTGAGAGACAATGGTGAGAGAGAAAAAGAAAGTGAAGGGTGAGAAAGAGAAAGTGAGAGACAGGACTAAAGGGAGTCAAGAAAAATGAAGAAGAGACAATGAAGGAGGAAGAGGGAAGGGAAGGAAGGAGAAGCAGCAGTGGCCGATAAGAGGGGCAGAGAGGAAAGCGAAAGTAAGAAAAATGTAAATAGTGAGAGAAGTTTGAGACGTATGGGAGAGAGAGAGAGAGAGCATGATAGGGAGATATAAGAATAATGAGATAAAAGTGAGAGAAGAGAATAGAGAGTGAGAGACAGGTAGGAGTGGAGGGGAGGAGGTAAAGGGGGTCACTTCCGCCTTGGTCATGGTTTCCACAGGTCCTTCAGTAGGTCGTGCCTGCCTCCAGGGTCGTCTAGGAGTCGTGTCCTGTCTGGTGGTCCTGGCGGTCGTTCAGGGGTCGTGTGGTCTGTGGTCCAGCGGTCGTTAAGCGGTCGTGTGGGGTCTGGTGGTCCTTTTAACGGTCGTACAGGGGTCGTGTGGGGTCTGGTGGTCCTTTTAGTGGTCGTACAGGGGTCGTGTGGGGTCTGGTGGTCCTTTTAGTGGTCGTTAAGCGGTCGTGTGGGGTCTGGTGGTCCTTTTTAGTGGTCGTACAGGGGTCGTGTGGGTCTGGTGATCCTTTTAGTGGTCGTTAAGCGGTCGTGGGGTCTGGTCTTCGCTTAGTTGTTATGGGGTCGTTCAATAGTCGTGTCTGGTCTGGTGTTTTTTTTTATTAGCATGCAAGGGTCGTTGTAAAGCCTTGTGCTAAACCAAGAGTCGTACCTGACGTAAAAGCTAAACACAGGTCGTACAAACGCCCTCTCTAGGTCATAGTAGGTCGTGTACAGGTCGTCTTAGAAGAAAAGTCACTAAACGCCCCATAAACGACCTCCAAAGGCTAATGCTAGACCAAGAGTCGTTTCACTCAACATAACTCTCCACAGGTCGTCATGAGGTCGTGTAGAAGTCGTCTTAAGAGTTGTACTTACCAACACACAATCCTCCTCTTGGTAGGGCGGGAAAGATACGTATCTCATGGTGTAAACTTCTTGATGGTGAGAATTATCGTGATAATCGGTGATAGGAATTACCCCGATAATCGTTCTCACGGTTATCGTGCTGAACGCCTGCCCAGGTAAGATAACTTCATATCCCGACCAGCCCAGGTAAGCTCTCTCTCTCTCTCTCTCTCTCTCTCTCTCTCCTCTCTCTCTCTCTCTCTCTCTGATCCTAGATGCTGAAAATTTAGTTATTGTTGTTGTTGTTGTTGAAAGTATTATTGCGTTTACGATTATTATTATTATTATTATCAACATCGAATAGAATAGGAATAAAAAAAACACTGATAAGTAAATGTAATAATAATAAGAGTAATAACAATAATAACTTAAAATAACACGATAAATTAATAACAGTAATAACGTCAAGCAGTAGTACCACATCAATGAACCCAAAACCACAGACGTAATAAAATGATTTCCTCCAGAACATACACTTACGAGGTATATCTTTGATCTGGTAATAAGTAACACATCAGGTACACCTCCTCTCCCCCTCACCTCATCCTCCCCCCTCCACCTCCTCCCCCCTCCCCCCACCTCACCTCTCCCCCTCACCTCCTCCCCTCACCTCCTCTCTCCCCTCCACCTCCTCTCCCCCCCCTCCCACCTCTCCCCTCCCACCTCCTCTCCCCTCCACCTCCTCTCCCCTCCTCCCCACCTCCTCCCACCTCCCCCCACCTCCCCCACCCCCTCCTCTCCCCCTCCCACCCACCTCATCTCCCCTCACACCTCCTCCCCCCACCCCTCCCTCCTCTCCCTCACCTCCCTCTCCCTCCTCCACCTCCTCCCCCCACCTCCCCCCCACCTCCCTCCATCTCCCCCCTCCCCCACCCCTCCCTCTCCCCTCACCCCTCATCTCACCTCCCTCCCCCACCCCTCCTCCTCTCCCCCTCTACCTCCACCCCTCCCTCCCCACCCCCTCACCCCTCACACCTTCTCCCCTCTTCCCCTCAAGGCCGGGTGTGTTGGCGGTCACCCTCAGTGTGCTCTGAGAATTATCCCACTAGGTCAAGGTTAAGGTTGAGCTGTACACCTTTAATTAATTTTTTCCCAGTCCAGGTAGAGGAGAACAAGTTGTCTCTCTCTCTCTCTCTCTCTCTCTCACACAACAAAGGAAAGATAGCCAGGCAAGATAGCATAATGCGATGTCCCTCACATCGACGCACATGTCCGCCCACATCAGGTAACACACCGACGTGAAACTGATCCTGCAGTTCGTCCCTCGTTCCTTCCCTCTCTTTTCTCTCCTATCTCGTCCCTCTCTCCGTCCCTTTCTCCGTCCCTCTCTCCGTCTCTCTTTCTGTCCCTCTCTCTGTCCCTCTCTCCATCCCTGTTCTTTCTCTCGCTCTCTCCGTCCCTCTCTCTATCCCTTTCTCCGTCCCCTCTCCGTCCCTCCCCTATTCTTCTCCGTCCCCCCTCTCTCGTCCCACTTTCCGTCCTCTCCGTCCCTCTCCGTCCTTCTCTCTATCCCCCTCTCCGCCCCTCTTCCTATCCCCTCTCCGTTCCTCTCTCCGTCCCTCTCCCCGCCCTCTCTCGCCCCTCGTCGTCCCTCTCTCCTTCCCTCTCCCCATCATTGTATACAGACTCTCCCGACTTTTGGACGTGGAAACGAATAACTTCCTGAAGAATACGACTTAACGGCAGTACAAATGCCATCGCTGCACTCAAAGGATTGTCATCGTACTCAAGGTGTTAGGTTACCGTACTCAAAGGTGTTAAGTTGTTTTATTCAAAGGGTTAAGTCATCATACTCAAGGGTGTTAAGTTGTTTTATTCAAAGGGTTAAGTCATCATACTCAAGGGGCTATCATACTTTATGGGTTAATCAACTAGTATATC